AGGGAGGGAGGGAGGGAGGGAGGGACAAAGGGTCAGAGGGAGGGAGGGAAGGGACAGAGGGAGGGAAAAGAAAGGGAAAAGGAGGGGAAGGGAAGGGGAAAGGAAGGGGAATAAAGGGAAAGAAAAAGGGAAAGGTAAGAGAAACTGTTTTAATATGAAAATGCTAGTGGCATTCTACTTAAAATCATGAAGAACCTAAAGAAGCCCAATTCTGCCATCTCTATTAGACGTTATACTGGGTTTGCTAACCAGAACAGTAAGGAACCCATAAATTTGATTCTATTTCCATTACTCTCAGATTTGCAGAAAACCTTAGATTGCCTACAGACAAATTTTTAGATATAATAGAGTTTAGCATGCATGGTGATGGGCTTTAAGAACAATCTTTTTTTTTTTTTTTAAACAAGTCAAATGCATTTGTGTAAATTAGACCCAAATAGAAACTGTCATTTTAAACAGACATCAAATACGAGAGCAGCAACAGTGTATGGTAATCTTGGGATAAATACATTAAATGGTGTATAGGTTATGAATGTACAGAAGATAAAACTAAAAACTAATGTGAACAATTAAAACGTCAAAGACCCACATAAATGAAGACTCCTTGAGTTGGTGACTAGAAAGGCTGAAGATTCAAGGGATAGTCAGTTCTTCCCTACCTGATCTGGAGATTCAGTGAAAAGGCATTCCAAATCTGTTACAACTGAGTTTTCAGGAAATTTGACGTTGCAGGCTCTAACTATGCATATGGAAGGGCAAAAGCCAAAGAATAGCGAAGATGCATTTGGAAATGATAGATAATATGTAGGAACTTTCCCTAGCAGACATCACAATGTATTCTGAAGTGATGAAAACTATGAAAATGTAGTATTGGCACAGGGCTAGACAAATACATATATGGACCCTAACAGGGAGGTTGGAAATGCAGACACACAAATATGAACGAACGAACATGTTTCCAGACATTGGCAGACGTCCCTAAAGGGCGAAAAGTCACCCCAATTGAGAATCCGTGCCATAGGAATAGGGATGACCTTAAAACCACACGCCGAATTTTTCAAAGGTAAATTGTAGACTAGCAAGAACACGAGTCAAAAATGCATGCACCCAAAATATTTCACATCCAAAGGGGCACTAGTCTGAGGAAAAAGCCTTGGGGAGCATAAAGCTCAACTTTACTTCAAGTGCTCCTGGCGGGCCGAGTGAGGAGAACAGAGGTGACAGGGAGGCACAGGGGGCGTGACCGTAGCGCATGAGGGACAGGGGATCTCGAAGTTCATTGCTCGTTAACCACAGCAGTGGGAGGAGGAAGGCAGACCCGGAGCTCATTGGCCTTTGTCAGATGGGCGGGAAAGGGAGAGGAAGCTGGGTTTTCTCTCAGGCGGCTTGTCTGAACTGATTGATTCTGACCTGCTGGAGGCTGAGGTAACCACAGAGGGGAATCAGGAATATGATCCTCGTTTCCATGCCTTTTATTTCCTCCCCTCTCCTGCTCACTTTCCCCTCTCCTCCACCTCAGCGGGGTACCCTCCCACCCACTCCTGACGTCCCTTTCCACCCTTACCCCGCGCGGAACCCCTTTTGGGAGGACCCATTGCCTCAGCCCCATGGGCAATTGGCCTCTGGTCACTGGGGCAGGCCTCATGGGCCTGATTTTGACTCAGAAGTGGGGAAGGGAGAGAATTATTTGGCTTCCTGAGGAAGGGAGACACTCAGGGGCGGCGGCACTGGGTGCGTGGGTGGGGGGAGGGGAGATGGTGCACTCAAGGACAATTTTTGAAGTGTGGATAGGAGAGTGGAGGATTGTTGAGAGGCTGTGGAGGGAATGTGTGGGGCAAATATAATACATGATGTACAGGATATGAATGCACAGAAGATAAAACTAAAAACTAAGTGGAAAGCATAGAGGGTACATCGGTCTGACAGAAAAATTACTGCACTGAGGAGTTGCCTATTGGATAGATACGAGCCTGGCACTTCACAGGGGGCTCCAGAAGTATCTTCTGAAAGAAGAATCAAGGGAATGAATGAATGAAAATAGTAATTGAAAGAGGGGCGGGGATCCAGGAGGACAATACGATTTCATGGCGGTACAAGAGGGAAATCAGCTTAAAGAGGGAGCAAGAGGATAATTAAGGTTGAGTGGGGTGCAAGAAACAATCAGAGTGGAGTGTGAGGGGAAAATTGAATATAGGGCATGGAAGAAACTGATAGAACTGAGTGCAGGGATCATAAAATCATGTGTGGGAAGTAAATGAATGCAGGAGGTTCGGAAGATATTTGCTGAAGTGGTGGATGCCAGGAATAATAGTTGGGGTTGGCAGAGTACAGGATGATACATAAGAAGGGACTGTAGTAATTGTTAAAGGGGGCATAGGAGTGCATGTGTGTGATGGAAAATGGGGTCTATGGTGGAGTGGAGGTAAGCAAGAAGAATAATGATTGAATTGAATGGTTCTGGGAATCATGATGTTGAGAGTTTCTTGGGAGGAGGCTATGCATGAGTGGAGCTTCCTGGGAAGGTGGCCACTTGAGCAAGGAGGTCGGGGTGAAGGTTGGAGAAAGCCATGGGAGATGAAGGGAGTGGGCAATCTGATTCCAGCAGTGAGCGGGACACAAGAGAAGAATGCAGCCACCTCAGATAGGATCTCCCAAGGACAGAGGAGGTATGTTGGGGGTAGGGGTTCATGTGGCCATTCTGATCTGCGCTCCTGACCCTAGAACCATGGAACCCAAAGAGATACCTGCTGTGGCCTGCTGCCCCTCTGACTCTGAATGTACCCTGGGGCGTGAAACTGGAGCCCCGTAGGGGATTGATCTTGGCCCCAGAAGAGCCATAGGTTGCTGTGACCACTGCCACAACCATGGCATCACTACCCAAATCAGGGGCCACAAGCATTTCTGCCTCTTCCAGGCTTGCCAGTGTCACAATTGTGCCCTCTTTTTGTGAGTATGGTGTGTGAGACAGGGAGGGGTCATGCCTCCTCTAAACGTGACTACCCTCACACCTGCAATCCCCCACTTTAGGGAACACCGCAGGGTCTAGCCGGCTGTGAGTGCCTTGAAGAGGAAGCAGCAGGCACAGCTAAGGAGGCACCCGGCTCAAGGACTGACTGTTGAGGAGTATGGCTGCCCGGCCCAAAGCTCACATCCATGTCAAGAATTTGGCCGTGGAAGCAGGAGTTCTCAGTGAGTGCCTCTGGCCAGGGAGGGAGCCTGTGTTTGGGTGAAGGAAACATGAGTAGTTCTGTCACCAGTCTTGTCACTGAATTTCAGTTGTGGCCTGGGCCAAGTTACTCCCTGGACTCTAGCTCCCCCATGTATAAAACATCATCCGTGTTATCTACCAAGTGTTTGTTAGAAGGAAAGATCTGGAGGGATCAGAAAGGTCCATGGTGAGATGAGACTTCAGACTCGGGGTGGTATAAAGTGGGGTGGGGTTGGTGGGAGAGGTGGGAGAAGGAAAGGCTCACCAAAGCTGGCCCTCTTCTTTCGCAGCTGGGAAGGAGAACAACATGTTGCAGCCTGAGGTCCACATCCACACAAACCCCAAGGAGGTAAGGAGAGGCCATGGCCGGGGGGAAGGTTCCCACCCGGCCACTGCCCAGACCCCTTTCACTGTTTCTCGATGACACAGTGGATTCCATCTCTAACCCTACCACCAATTTTCCTTGCGACTTTGGGAAGGCTCACTTTCCCTCCCCGGGCCTCAGTTTCCCCAGTTGCAAAATGAAAGGCAACACTGTCTGGTCTTCAAGGTCTTCAGAGCTCTGACATTCTGGGCTCCTATCCTCATCCCCAAACATGCCCACACCTCCTCCCTCGATGGCTGGTCTGGTACCTGACTCCAACCTGTGCTCTCTGCCCCCTGCAGGAGAGCTCCCAAGGGGCTCTGCTGCTCGACAAGCCCCCAGAGCCGTTGTCTCTGCCCTGTGCTCCTGTGACCTTGGAGCAGGAACTGATGGTTTCTCTTTCTGGGGAGCCCCACGGGCCCCCTGCCCTGCCCAGCACGTGAGTACAGTGAGGACCGGAACAGGTTGTGTCTTGTGTGCCCAATCTTGTGCTTGGTGCCATGGGAGACAGGAAGAGGAAAACGGGAAGGAGAAGTGGCATCTAAGACAAGGGCTCTCCCAGCTTTGCCATTTCCTATTTGTGAGGCTTTGGGCAAGTGATGTTATGTGTCTGAACCTCCATTTCCTTGTGAGTGTGCTGGGGGCGATATTCTATACCTCTAGAATTGAAAAGAGGACTAACACAGGCCTGCCACATAGTAGGCCTCTAACAAATGAGGGTTGTTACTGAACATCAAACAGACAGATAGGATAGAAGGTCCTGCTGACAAGTGGAGGCCATGATGGTGGAGGGCTACAGAGGCCCAGGGGAAAGTCCAGAGGCCATTAGCAAAAGCTTCCTGGAGCTGAGCTGAGCTTGTCCTTCAAGACCCATGGGGACTGGGCAATATGGAAGCAAGAACCAGTCCTTGAACAGGGACAGTAATCCCATCTCTCCAGGTGCTTTGCAGATTGAAATACAGACATCTGTGATTTCCCATAATCTTCACCACTGCCCTGGGAGGAAAATGCTGGCAGGAATAGGAAAAGATATATCTCGGGAAAGATATAGAAAAAAAGAGGTATGGGAAAGAAAACAGGCCAAGCAGGAGAAGGATGTTTCCCAGCCACAATGAATAATGGTCCAGCAGGCATTGGGATTTCCACATCTAGTTATTGCAAAATCCTGCCCCTCCTTCTGTCTACTGGTAGTATGTGTCTGCCAGAGGATTTAATCCCCTGGCCTCTCCTCTCCTTGTTTCTAGATGCTCAACTCTGATCCTCCAGCCCTGTGCCACCCTTGACTCTCTTCTACTGCAGCCACAGGTCCTGGGAAAGTAGTGGGGTCAAGAACCCTGGGAGGGGTGGAGCTTAGTGGATGGGAAGAGTAAAAGGCCTTGGGCGGTGGGGGCCTTGAGGGAACTGGGGGATGGAGGGGTACTTGCCCCATTGGGAGGAGGTATGGTTTCCAGTGCCCATTCTCTCATTCCTGTTCTTTTGCAGGTCCCCAAAGCCTCAGACCAGTCTGGGGTTTCTGCCTCCTCAGAGTGGCAGCGGAAGCTGGAGGCTGCTGAGGCTCTGCTGACTCTGAGGGACTCTTCTCAGGCCCCTTGTGACACTATCTCCCTGCATCAGCCCTGTGGTCCACCAGGTAAACTGCTCCTCAGAAGGAGAACACAGAGTGGGGAAAATTGGGAACAGCGTTGGGGGGAGGGTGCATGGTGGTAAGCAGGTTCCAACTGGAAAATCAGTGTAGGTGGGTTGAACCTCCTTGCATCCAGGCACCCAAGCTTCTCAGTCTGACTTGAAATGGTAGTTGAGGGCTGTTCAGTGAATATGCACTTTATCAAGCTTTGTGCTGAACAGTAAATGCCCAGTGTCCTGATGTCAAGAAACAAAGAAACTGGGGTCACGAGAGTGGCGGGGACTTGCCCTGCCTAGAGCAGGGGTCTTCAAACTTTTTAAATAGGGGGCCAGTTCACTGTCCCTCAGACCGTTGGAGGGCCGGACTGCAGGCCCTGAGACGAGTCGGCTGCTAAGCAGGACAGGCAGTGGAGGCAAAAACACCCGGCGGGCCGCATAAATGTCCTGGGTGGGCCGCATGTGGCCCATGGGCCGTAGTTTGAGGACGCCTGCCCTAGAGCATGCAGCATCTCAACTGGAGAAACCAGGTCTCCTGACTCCCAGCCAAGGGCTCTCTTCCCAGATTCCTGCAGTCTGCTGTGGTCTGGGGAAGACATACAGAGGTGGTAAGGGTCTTGTCTGGAAGGTGTGGTCCCCGCCTCCAGGGAGCTTCCAGTCTAGATGTGGAGCCTGAATGTCTTGGCAAGCTGTGCTTTCTGTTTAAATCTCAACGATAGATGAATAGAGGAATGCTGAGGAGGGAATAAACACCTGGGGAGGCTGAGAGGGAAGGCTGGGCATTCTTGGACCAATAATGGTGGATGGGGCACGGTGTGTGAGTGAAGAAACAGCCCTGGAGGAACAGCTGGAATAGAAGGGGATGAAGCTAGAGAGTATGAATCACAGAGGTGTGGCAGGCGAGGCTTGGGAGGACAGACCAACAACTGTGGGTGGTGAGGAGCCAGGGAATGCTTCTGAGCTAGGTAGAAGCATTTTCAGAGACCCTGGGCTTGACTAGGGGAGGCAAGCCTGGAGGTGGGGAAATGAGAAAGGGGTCTCTGCAGCAGTACAGGTGACAAATCATTGGTTGGGGGGGACACACAAAATAGAGGAAAGCTGGGAGGGGGACATGGATGTGACCAGGCTCTGGCCCCTTCCTTTCTGTCTACAGCTCCTGCTGGAGATAAAGAACTCCAGCCTTCCAGCCCCTCTCTGCGCCCCAGGCCAGCCAGCTCCGTCTCGCTGCCTATTGGACATCTGGGGTGCATCTCCCTCTTGAGCTAGGAACCCAGAGGAGGAGGCCTCAATATAGCACTGCCTATTTGGTATCCTGTTTCTGAATGTGCAAAATGGTTAATGTCCAAAATGCTTAACATCTTTTTTTTTAAGCCTTCAGGTGTTTTATAAGCTTTCAGACCCTTTTTATTATATAGGGAAATTCCTTGGCTGAGGGTGGATATTCTTGTATCTCTATCCCTTACTCCTTTGGATGCTGGGGCCTTTTAATGTCTCCTGTAATAGGAGGATTGTGCAATCTAAGTTGAACAGTCTCTAAGGGGGGGAGAGGTTCTGTGTGAGTTCATATGCCAGAGTTTTTATTTGTCTTGTGATTGTAGACATACCTGTGCACCCACGTTCGTATCCATGTATGTGGAAACATAAGAATGTTTTCACTTTGTCTCTAGGTTTGTGCGTGTGAACAAAAAATAAATCCTTCTTGTTGTAAGGCACTGTGAGATATGGGTTGTTTGTTACCTCAGTATCACACAGTAAGTCTATAAGCTACCCTGACTCTAACAGACTTGTTCAATTCATGTTTCCAAGTGAGAATCACCTCAGGCAGTAGCTGGGATTTCTTAACATGGCTGGACAAGAAAATGGCAGAAGAAATAATGTAGGATATTTATTCATTGAGCAATTAAGTACTTACCCTCTGCCTGGCATGGACTGTTTTCAGTTGTCCAGAGGGCCACAATTTGTAGTACTTGTAGGATCAAGCAGATCATGTACATGAGTAGAGCAGGCCTGATGAGCTCTGGCCAAAGTGACAGTGCACGCTCTACCTAAGGGGGCAGCTGGTGCTTGGCTCAATTGTTGCCATGCAGGAATGTTGGCTCATGGTAACCAAGCCAACTGGTTTTTAAAGAGAAGATGGGATTCCAGATTTCTATGTAAAACTACTCAACTTGTAAACGTTCACTCAGGTTTATTTTTTAAGCCTTGTATGTGGGCCAAACCGAACACCAATGAAGGATGACTTTAGTGAATAGAATGCCAGGTTTGTTCTAGTTCAATGTGAACTTCACAGTGGGGGAAACTGAGGCCAGTCAGGACAAGAAGAATCAAAAGGGAGAAATGAATTAGACTTAATTTGTTAGACTTAACTTTGGAAGGATCCAAGAAATATGAGGAAAAGTCACTACCTTTTATTTATTCTGTTCTCATTGTACTAAGCACATACGGCCTCCCAGCGACTCTGTAAGCTAAGCACTGTCATTGCTATTTTACCTACGAGGAAAAGCACTCAAAAAGCAAAAGTGACTTGCAAAAGTGCTTCCATTGTCTTTACCAGGCCCTGAATTAGCTAATAATTCATTTTTTTATAAAGCATTGAAGGAAAGGTTCAAAATTCAAAGCGTCAGGTGGCTTTTTTTTTTTTCCCCCTTACCCAAGGTAGTAATCGATCAGATCTTTCTTACCTGCACTGGTTTCTCAGTCCTCTTCTGATGTTCTAAACAAAGGAGGAACTGGAGATCATCAGTAGGCAGAGAGGAAGTTCAATTGGATATGCCTGGATATGGACTCTTTCCCATGCTGTTATCTCCTTCCTTCCTTCCCTCCCTCCCTGTATTCTATCCAAGGTGATTGATTGTGATGACATCCATCTGCAACTTGTCATTTCTTTTCTGAGGCCTTGAGAAGTCAGGATTTTTATATTCTCAATCTGATGGCAAAGAGAAATAAACACGCTAAGCCACCCAGGACGTGGAGCAAGACCGAAACCTTATCCCATGGGTTCCTTCCTTCCCTGGTTTGGTACTTAAATAAATGATCCCAAAGACCCTCCTCTCCCAGCAACAGATGAACGGGTCCACATATGCCTGGAGGACGGAAGCTGTGGTACTTGGAAAAGGAGTAAGACCTTACTATATGATTGTGTCCTAGACACACCGCAGTCCCACAGCCAAGTTGGGTGCAAGAGGAAATATATTTTGGTTAAAGGATGTGGCACTGGAAGAGAGGGAGGTAAAAAGAAATAAAGTGATGGATGTTGGGGGGAAGGAATGAGACCCTTTTCCCTGCACCCTTTCAGTTTTCTGATACCCACTGCCATTTCCATGCAGGGATTTTACACACACACACACACACACATTGTTCTGTGACTTTAAAAAAAGTCTCATAATGATGTATGTTTGGCATCTTAGGACATCTTTGTAAATATTAAATATCAGACCTTTTTGTGTACTTCCCTTTGTCGTGTACTGCCTCAGTTCACAGATTATAAACATCACTATATAGAGCAAGCGAGCACTGTGAGTTAGGTCTTGACTCTTATGTGCTAAATTACAACATTGGTTAGAGCTGAGCTTATCCACCACATCAGAGCAGCTGTAGAGTGGATCATTTCAACTAGTAATGTGCAGCTAAAGGTTTAACAACAGGCTCTTGGGATGGGGGGAGGGAGCTTGGGAGAAATGCCCCCAGACTGTCACATTTGCTGATTTCAAGATACCAGCTTGACATCAATGAATGCAGAGTTGGAAAGAGGTGCAATAAATGTAAATAACGACAAGAACATAGATAATAGTAAAAATGTGGAAAACTAGTTAAGGATTGATGACTTCTGAGCATAAATTGTGTCTGTTTTCAATATAATGAATGTGATTGTTAGTTTATAATAGTAGTTTTTAATAGTAGCTGTATTTAACAACTGGCTCATGAAAATCCCAAAAATCTAATAGTCAGCTCTCATGATCAAGTAAAGGAGAGCTCCAGCACTCCACGGCTTTCAACCCTTGCCCAGAAAGACTTCTCTTCCAAAGTAGTTCCCACTAATGTTGCAGGGCCATAATGGGCTGCTACTGCCGGTTTCTGACCAAGAAGAGCCTAAAGTGTGTGTGCAAGTGCTATTTTCTCAGTAACAAATGGAAAGATCTGGGACTAATTGTAAACAGAAAGAAATAGTCAAAACCGCTTATATGGGAAAGTGCATTCTTGGAGGGAGCCAAAGTTGAGTAGAGGTGAGTGGTAGGGACATCAGAACTAGAAAAGCCCATATAAGGATGTATTCAACAGATTTTTTTAAACGCTAAAGGAATGGTGTTACCTAGCCATTGCACCTGTATCTCTCATTAGAGAGATGGATGTTCATCATGCTCCTCCCTCCTGCTTAGATAAATGCTGCATAAGCTACACAAACTTCTTCACCTTGCCTTTCTTTCAACCTAAAATTATGTTCTTGAGGCTACTTGCTCACCAAGTTGAGAGCAGTGTTATTTCAGTGAATGGTTGTACTGACCACACCATAATGCATCTCGTAAAGCCACGTGTGTTTTTTTAAAACGTTACTAAAAGCACTACTTGCTCCCCATGTTGAGAACTGTGTTATTTCAGTGGATGGATGTGGTGGCCACAATGTAATGCATGTAGTGAAATGGGTAAAGGACACATGAATAAAAGAAGTCACTAAAAGTTGAAAAAAATCCTGAGGTCACTCCACAGAGCTCTGTAGAGACATCCCTCATTCTTTTCAATAGCTAGAGAGTACTAGAGTGGACCTCTCATTCTTCAGTCAACCCGTCTTCTATTAACAGACACTTTGGTTCTTTCTATTCTTGCTGTTACAAATACGGCTGCAATAAACAGGCTTGTGACACAGCCTTTAGTAATTTTTATCACTATATCTTTGGGATTGAGTTCCGGGCATATTAACACTGCTTTCAAGGGTAAAACAAAACAAAACAAACAAACACAAAAACAAGTTATCTTGCTCATTACTGTCAAATCCCTCTTCAGAATGTGTGTGCCGTTTGTCTTTCTCCCATCAATATATGAGAGAGGAAGTTTTCCCAGAATCTCACTAGTACTGCTGACATATTCTTACATTTTCTCATCTGATAGATAGGTGATAAATTACATATTAGTGCATATTTTAACCTCATTTCCCTTGAGATGTGCAAGGTTGCACATCTTTTTCATATGGTAAAGAGACTTTCCTGTTTTTCCTTTTTCTTACGTACTACGAGTAATAGTACTATTGGCCCAGTTTCTATTGGGACTCTGGCCTTAGTTTCTTTTCAAAAAAGTTATTAGTATCTTAGGGATGTATTGGACGTTTACTCTTTTCTTCTGATATAAGTTGCAAATATTTTTACTGTTTATTATGATTCTTGTTACCTTGTCAATGGTGTTTTGTTTCATCGTTGCCATGCAACAGCATTTTATGTTTATTTAGTCAACACACACACACAGAGCACTTCAGCAATGATAGTAGAATACACATTTTTTTCTCAAGTGCACATGGAACATTGTCCAGGAAAGACTACATACTGGGAAACAAAACAAGTCTTAACACATTCATGAGGCTTTAAATCACACAAAGTAACTTTTCCAATCACAGTGAAAGAAATCTAGCAATGCATACCATGGGGAAAGCGTGAAAATTCACAAAATGGTGAAAATTTAGCAACACAATCTTATACAACCGATGGGTCAAAGAAGATGTCACAAGGGAAGTTAGAAAATACTTTGAGATGAATGAAAATGAAAACATAACATAGCAAAACATATGAAATGAAACAACAGCTGTGCTAAGGGGTAAGATCATAGCTATAAAAGCATACACTAAAAGAGGGGAAACATTTCAAACCAGTGAATTAACCTTACACCTCAAGAAACTAGGTAAAGAAAGACACATTAAATTGAAAGCTATCAAACAGAAGGAAATAGTAGAGATTAGAGTCAAGAAAGGTGAATAATGGAATAGAAACATAATAGGAAAAAAGCCAATGAAGCTAAGAATATTTTTTCTTTAAAAAGGTCAACCAAAAATAACAATCCCCCTAGCTATGTTAACAGGAAAAAGAGACATTGGATACAAGTAACTAAAATCAGAAACAAAAGTGTGGTGCTACAACCAATGCCACAGGAATTAAAATGGTTATAAGAGAATAGTATCAACATTGGCATGGCAACTGTTAGGATGGAAAGCTCAGTGGGTGCTCATAGGACAAAAACAGAATTTCTCCAGACCATGATTAGGCTATAAAAGGATAGTTCATTTTATCTTCTTAGAAGGGGAGAGGGAGAAAGAGAGGAGAAGAGAGAGAGAAAAGACAACAGGGAGATGGTGTGGCATCCCAAACAAAGAAAGGAAGAATGCCCTTCCTGAAGTCAAGTGGGTAGGTGAATATAAGGGGGAAAAAGAGAAAAAAAGGTAATTGCAGGCAAATTCAGAGGGTGTGGTGAAACTGGTCCATCTGCTTTACCTCCGGCAAGATGATAAGCAGCTGCCTTCTATCTTCTTAGCAGCTGTATGACCAGGAGACAGACTTTTCACAGTAGTTTCTGATTCTGTTGTTGATTCTGCCCTGAGATATCATTTTGGCCACCTTCTGAGGCCAGATGCTCAACTCACACCCTACTGTTTGTTCAGAGATGACTCAGGATTCCCTGAGGCTATAGGGACAAATTCTAAAAGGCAGATTTAGTCAATTAAGTTTGTAAAGAA